AATTCCTGGAACACTGGAACAATGTCATGAAGAATGAGCTTATGCGGTGATCGGCAGAATTTTTTGCTGTACAATACTTACGTAGGAGTTCGTAGCACCATTCAAGTACAGGAGAATACGGTACTCGTACTCATGACGAACGTACCGGTATGGTATCTGCTAAATGATACACATGTATTTTTTACCGTTGTTTGACTGTATATTATATGGTACACATTCTCGCACCCCTCATATTTAGTGGTACGAAATTTTTTTTGTGTACATTTCTACGGTGCTGATGTGTGTACTTGTATTATTTTATTAACTACTGGAGTCGCCTAATAAGTATAATAACCCACCGTATAACTGCTAACTGAAATATACAAATAATGATACACACTCCCACATACAAGGGACTGAATGGAGTCGTTGGCGATGCTTATTTTCTAGTACTAAATTCGTGTAGGAATTTTCGTACAAGTATACTGCTTGCAGCTCGCCCCCCCCCCCCCTCAGCAAGCTTCATTCATTCTATCGAAAAACTCAGTTTTGCAAGGGACTTGCCCATGGTGTTCCCCTCCATTTGAAGCACTTATACTCAACCTTAGACAACAGGACTACCACCGTTGCATCCACCATCTCCATTGTCGATTTAACAAGCCCTTAAGCGTTTGAAAAGACCCAGTAGAAAGTCTGTTTGGTTCAGTTTAGTTGTTGATACGATACGATACGATCATACGATGCCTCCTCGCAAAAGAGGAACAAGGAGCACAGAAGCAAGCAGCGACATCGAGGAGGAGGCAAGCAGCAACGCTGATACAATCAACGCTGATACAAGCAACRCTGATACAAGCAACGCTGATACAAGCAAYGSTGATACAAGCAACGCTGATACGAGCAACGTGGCAAGCAGCGGCAGCAACGCTGGTGATACGAGCAACGCGGCAAGCAGGAGCAGCAGTGATGACGGAGGACAAGCACTAGCAGAGCTGGCAGAGCTAATGAGAGTTGATCCAGACTTATACATGCTATCAGATGATGATTCCAGCAGCAACAAGGCCACCAGCAACAACAACAGCAACAACGCCACCAGCAACGCCACCACCAGCAGCAGCAACAACAGCAACGCCACGAGCAATGGCAGTAGGAGCAGGAAGAGGAAGAGGAAGAGCACCAAAAAGAAAAAGAAATCGACGGCAGGGAGGAAGAAGAAGAGGATCATTCCAGATTCAGACTTAGGTGTCAATGCCCCCAAAGCAATTGGCACCTACTACAATTGCTTTTGCAAGTTYATGGAATTCAAGGATGATTGTGTGTATGATCATGATCATGTATTCACTGATGAACAGAAGGCG